TCATTGGCCAGGTAAAAGTAACCCATGAGGTGTTTGGAAAGCATCCTTTCAGCTTGATTCACCATGTATTTATTACATGCCTGTTACATGCAAAGTATTATGTTTGGCATCGAGGGAAATTACTGCGGATAATAACATCAATTATCTGTGCCAGCTAGACACTGGCAAACCAGGGTAGTAGACAGTACTTTCATATCAGAGCATGAGAAGTAGAATGGGGAAATGGATAGATAGATGGTAGGCCTTAGAGTCAGATAGCCATGAGTTCAAATCCAACTTCTGACCCACACTAGCTGTATCACCCTGGGTATGCCCCAACCACTGAGGCATCGAGGTGGCACAGAGGTTAGAACACTGACTGGGGTCAGGAAGATCTGAAGTCAAATCCATCAATCAATCAGTAAACATGTGTAATGTGCATACTATGTGCCAGTCACTGTGCTAAGCTCTGAGTTAAAATATAGACTCAGACACTTACTAGCTAGCTTTGTGACCCTGGGCAAGTCACTTAGCCTCAGTTTACCTCAGTTTCCTCAATGGTAAAGTGGAAGGAATTAAGACACTTGCCAATTAGAGTTGTAGTAAGGATTTAAATAAGATAATATCTGTAAAGCACGTAGCACAGTGCCTGGCACATAGGAGATGCTTCACAAGGACTTATTTTCTTCCCTGCCCAGGAAACGCTATAAGAATAGAATTTTTCAAAATTAAGTTTTATTTTTTAATCAATCTCTCTCATCCATACCCCATCCCTCCATTAAGAAAGAAGAACAAAATCTGTTATAAACATGAAAGACTAGAAGATAGATAGATAGATAGATAGATAGATAGATAGATAGACAGACAGATAGATAGATTTGCTAATATGAATTTGTAGAGAAGTTTTATATTGGATGTTCTCCCACACTGAAGAAATCACAGGTCCAGATCACTCTCCTAAAAAGAAAAAAAATGGTAACATACCAGGTAGATGTAGCCTCATATTCCTTATTTTGCCTACCACTCAATGTGTCTCCCAGACACATTCTGTTGTGCCTACTTGAACCCCACCAATCAGTTTAGTTCTTTACATGAAAAAACAAGTCAATAATATAGGGAAAAGCCCCCTATCATGTCTCAAACAGGCAAATCATCTGGGTGACTTAACTGAAAAATTATTCAAGAGTCGCTGAAGAACTCCGTGGACATAGCCTTTATAGGATGAGTAAAAACCACGTTGGCTCTCAAACCCTACAACCAATAAAAGAAAGAGAGCAGATATCACAATGCATTTCCCCTTCTTGCCAAGCTGGGCCTCAAGGTACAGGGACCAGGAATATAGTGAAAGGAACAGAGATCCCCACCAGCTTTGCAGATCACAGAGGATGGTGGAGCCAAACAGCAGAGGCACATTTTGTCTCTTGGTCTGAGCATTTGCATTTTTGAGCTCAGACTCTCAGAAGCCTTTTGAAAAGTCAAGGATGGCTTTCGTTGATTTACTTTTGTTCATTTTTTAAAACCACAGCTCTGTGAAGAATGTCTATCATTGTACTTCTAAATTTGTAGCTGACGAGAGGCCATTTGAACTTCTATTTAAAAATGAAAATAACTTGATGGTGGTGGTAGTTGTGGAGTGTGTGTGTGTGCATGTATGTGTGTGTGCATGTGTGTATGTGTGTCCTATTCGACTGATCACTTGAGAGGACATACTGTACCACTTTCACAGACGTCAGGTTCCTCATGGTGAACAGATGATGTCGGCTTTGTTGTTCGCCTCTCTTATTACTGTTGACATGTTTGCTGCACACGTCCAGCTCTCTTGGTCCTTGGACTTGATGGATCAGTAAATAAGTCTGGTCTAGAACCAGCCCAACCACTATAGCCACTCACTCCTCCTGCCTTACCTTTGAGGCCCAAGGGCTCTCCAAACTGTAATCCCACAATGCAAGGTGCCATGGTTCTCTTTAGCAACTGACCTATTGAATGTGTCCTATTGGGTAGTTTCAGGGCATATAGGCAAGAATGGTTTATTGTTGGCAGACAAGCCTAGCCAAGATCAGAGGAGATAACAGAGGATTATGGAACTAGAAAGGTTTGGGAGAATAGTTAGTCAAACCTCCTTATTTTACAAATGGGGAAACTGAAGCCCAGGAATTTTAAATGACTTGCCTAGCAAGTCACACATCTAGTAAATGCCAGAGGTGGAATTTGAACTTAGGTCCTCTGATTTTAAAGTCAATGTTCTTTCTATTCTACTACATTCTGTCCATCATGGCCAGGTTGCCTGAATACTGATACTGACAAAATTACAGATTCTTGCATTACTGAAACAATTAAGGAAAAAATAATCATCAGAGAATTTTGCAGCTGGAAAGGATTTTAGAGATTCTCTTGACCAACTCTCTTATTTTGCAGAGGAAGAAACAGGTCTGAAGAAGAGAAGTATTTTAACAGATTCCTAACTTTAGTCTCTATAGAAGTAACAAATTGAAGGAAACAAACCCCCCCACAGAGAACTGAATTTACCTCTTATTGTCTGTGCCATCCATCTCCTGTTTTTTCCTTAATCTTAATTCACTTTACCACTATCTAAATCACTTTTAATTAAAAAGCTATAGTGAGTAAACAGATTCCTTTATATAATTTTGGGCCAAATTTATGTTGTGACTATTTTTTTTTAACCTGGGACTTCTACAGCTGAAAGGAGAGAGGAGCCTGGTTGTGCTAGCCAGCAGAGTATTTGCAGGTCAGACATTGAGTAAAGGCATGGTCAAGGGCATCACAGGGAAAAAGCATTTCTCCAACTCCCACCCAAAGTTCTCCCTTCTCCCATTTATCTTCTCTTCCAGTCCCTGGAAGACTGAGAGGAAAGTGATCCATTTACCTGTGGTCTTGAAGTGTAAGGCCCTTTCCCAGGGGACTTGCACTAAACCCTGACCAACCAGTGGATGTCTCTCGTGGCTTGATACGGGAACATTCATTCAGGGTCATCGAGGCAGCTAAACCTGGGAGAAAGGTCCACAGGCCTCCAATTCATAAAGACTCCTTACTCTAGCCATGGAGTCACTTTACAGACTTTGAGTGTTCAGCCAAATTAAGACTTGTGGCAGATCTTAATTTGGCTGAACACTCAAAGTATTTAAATCTTTAAAAAACAAAACAAAAAACCAACCTTCTGGCTTTATAAGCCTTCCATGGTACATGTGATTTAAGTTGACTCCTGAGTAAAATGGGAAACAGCCCAAGCTTGAGTCCACAGAAGGTCGCATTCTTGAATACAGCAATCCTGCCTGCAAACACCCCTGAAAACTTGCTGGCTCCCATGTGCCCTGGCCTGTTGCTACCTTTACTCCAAAAATTCTTCAAGACATAGATCCACATAGCCTTAAGTCATTAGGCTTTTGTTTACTGAAGCAACTGGCCAAGAGAGGCTCCAAATAACACTTACCTCAGGGCCACAGGGTGATAAATGCTTCAGGGAGAAACATTGCCTGGAATTCTAAATGGAGTTACTCTCAACAACTAAGTGCCTTGTTTCTACTACCTTATATGCCTTCTGAGTCACCTCAGCTTATTTTCCTGATTGACTGCCTTCTATCCACATTCAAGTCCTATTGACGTCAATGGCAATTGAAGTCTCTCCCTAATCAAAGGTACTATATGGTCCTCGAGTTGTTTTTATTTTTGTTTTTAACAACTGTGGAGTCAATATAGCTACAGACACTACAAGAGGATTATTGTGCACTCTTGAGCCCCACTCATAAAGTCATAGAATCCTTGATAACTGATAACGAGAAGGGACTGATGATAATGATGAAGAGGAAGAGAGGAGGAGGGTTTGGAAGGAAGAAGGAAGATAAACACAGAGTCAACAATATTTTGTACAATACTTTGCTTACAGTGTGTTTGATGGAGGGAGGATAGATGAAGGGGTTGGAGTGCTTATCAAAGAAGCAAACAAACAAAAACAAAAGACCCAGAAGCACAATATGGTTTTTGCTTGGGAACTAAAGGTCTGACAATCCAACATGGAAAAGAAAACAAATGGGAAACTATACCAGATAGTTAATTGTGGCTTCAAGTGAACAGTCTGTAATTTGTCTAGTAGAGCTATTGCTGACAGCCATGATTATAGGATTTGGAGCTGAAAGAGACCATAGGACTCATCAATCCAGCCCCTCATTTGAAAATGGAGAAAATTGACCATAGAGTATTGAACCTTGAATGGCTGAGCTAGAAGAGACCCTGGGTGTGTAGAACACAGTGGAGAAGAAGGTGGCCTTGGAATTGAGCATATTTCAGGGAAGAGGCACTTCAGAGATTATACAGTCCGATCTCCTCATTTTATAGATGAGGAAACGGGGGCCCTGAAAGGTTGTTTCCTAAGATCACATAGGCATTAAGTAACAGAGTCTACACTTGCATCCAGGGCCTCTGAAGACAAATCCAGTGTTTTTTCCCCACTGTCTAATTGGCCCATGGCTTTTTGTGTTGTTTTTTGATCCAGATCCATAAATTCACTAACAATATTATCAATAATTTACTGTCTTAGAGAGTTACCTGAAGGTACCAAAAGATGAACTTATTTTCCCATAGTCATGTATACATAGCTAGTGCGTATCACAGGCAGTTCTTTAACTTGAGGTTTCCAGACTCCAGTGTTGATCTTTATCCTCTATGCGATTCTGCCTCAGTGGACAATGATATTTGGGGAAATCGATAGCAATTTGGCTTTGGTTCTAGAGCTAGAAGGGACCTTAGAGAAGACCTAATTCACCCCCTCATCTTACATAGAAAAATTGGGGCTCCTAAATATTAAGTGACTCTGTTAGCCAAGGTCAGACAGGTAGTAAGTGCTGAGCTGGGATTTGAATTCAGGACCTCCAACTTCAAATCCTGCACTCTTTTCATCATGCCACATTTTCATTTGGGTGATATGTCAACTGGAGGACATCTTGTATGTACTCAACACAAAATGACGTTTTCTTTTTTGTTTTGGAAACAAATTGGATATTATTAGGCACTACCTTAGACAATTTTTTATGAAATAAACTAGGATACTAAGGAATATGAAGGCTGACCATTTCTTCACTCAATGTAATGAATTTTTTTTTAATCATGGCCGGTAGGGATAATTTTCCTCAAAATGAATAAAGGGTTTTCAGATAAGAAAGTATGAATTGAAAATTAAAATATTAAACAACCAATTAAAGCCATCATAGTTCTATTAATCTTGGAGGAAAACTCCCTGGAAGTCTTGAAGTACATATGTAGACTTTCTTTCAGGGTTCTTTCTTCAGCAGGAAGCTTCTTCAAAAAGAAAACAAAGACGGTGATTAGAAAACAATTGAAAAGCCCCAAGGAACAACAAAAGACCCCCGGGTAACCATTAAGGGATCCCAGGTTACAATGTGAGGATTTCTAGAACCTGGTTCTAAACCAAGCTTTGCTACAGTTGTTTTCTAATATTCCCTTAGCTATCAAAACCAAAGAGAGGTTATAAGCAAGAGTTTAGGATCAGGAATATAAGCTCTTCAAATTTCATTTCAGAGGCTCAAATGTGTATTGTGGGTTTTATTAAATTTACAAATAAGTTCATTTTTACCATTGCACTCATGAGTCAGGTTTTTCTCAGTTCTTGGCTCAGTCCCTAGGAGAAAGAAGGTCCATTAACTCTTTCTAGGTGCTGTAGTATGGGACCATGAAGAGCTGCCTTTGGAATCAGGAAGAACTGCGCTCACAACATACTTACTAGCTGTTGTGGCCTTAGGAAAAGTCACTTATCATCTTGGAGCCTTAGTTTCATCATCTGTAAAAAAAGTGAAAAATAATTCCTGTAGTACAAGGAGTATTGGGAGTACCTTGTAATATTGAAATGATCAGATTAAATGTTCAATGTAGAGTACCTTGAAAACTTTAAAGCACTATAGAAATATCAGTGATTATGATTGCTGACCCAGGGCATGCTTGCACCTGGTGGTTGCTCTTGTCATCACTATGGAGGGGAGGATTTAGGACATGAGTAGATCTTTGTGGAATGGGCATTGAGATTCTCTGCAGCAACAGGGACTCAGCGTTAGTATTCCACTAGCTTGCTGACCATCTTCATGAGGGGGGCTGGATGATTCAAGGGCTGGCACATACAACCTTTTACCTCTGAGTTTCAAACGCAAGAAGATAGTGACTGAAATTAACCTGATGATGACTCACTGGCAGAGTTGCTCAATAGCCTCAGAAAAATCTCATGAAGTCTGCCCTCTGCGAGAACCTTTCCTCTGGAGATCTCAAATCATTGGACAGAGACTGGTTCTTGGGATACGGCAGTGGGATTGGGTGAGAGCTATTATATCCTAGGCCCAGATGAAGAAACAATCGTGTGGGCCCATTCTTTAGATAAGGAATTTTCTTTTTATTTCATTGAGTCACCTAAGAAACTCTTCCTCTAAACTGTTAGTATTCCTGGGCCAAATCCTTCAACAACTCATTTCAAAGAGAAGGTAAAAAATTCCAATCAAGATTGGCACCTGAACAGAGGCATCCCACCTAGTTCCCATAAATCTTTTCCAACAAAAAGCTGAAATTCTGTCAAACCAAATAATGATCAATAAATCTAATGAGAAACCACCAGAACTGCACAAAAAGTTAGCTAGAGGGCACAGACAATAGGAAAAGATGCTGTTAGCAAGTCAGTGCCAGTTCAGGCAAACAAGACAGCAGCCTCCCAGGATGACCAGCGATGAGTCAGAGACACATGTTGCAAGTATGTGTCTGGAGGCAGTAAAAGGAAAGAGTTCTCCCAAGAAAATCCCAGGGTGGTCAGAAATCACCAAGGTGACCAGAAACTATAGAAATGACTGTGGAAACCCATGGGCATGCTTATATTCAGACTGGCACAGCCCAAGCACCTAGCAATTCTAAGGCCCCTGGCACTCAGTCCTGAGATGCCAGAGAGCCCTATGCATCCAGTGCTCTGAACTTCACAGATCCAGGGAGACTTAACCACTGGAGATGGAGATCAGAGCAGCAGGAACCCAGGTGAACCAGAGGGAAACCAAGCAAGGCTAACTACTCCACCCAAAAGCACAGCAAGGATCAGAGCTTGGCCCTGGCACAAAGCCTCAGTTTAGAAAATAAAGCTGGTATCTGCACTGCAAGGATCAGAGCCTGGCCCTGGCACAAAGTCTCAGTTTAGGAAATAAAGTTGGTATCTCTAGTCATATGAAAAAGTGCTCTAACTCACTATTGATTAGAGAAATGCAAATTAAAACAACTCTGAGGTATCACTTCACACTTATCAGATCGCCTAATATGACAAAAAAAGGAAAATGATAAATGTTGGAGAAGGTGTGGGAAAACTGGAACACTAATACATCGTTGGTGAAGTTGTGAACTGATCCAGCTATTCTGATGAGCCATTTGGAACTATACCTAAAGGGCTATAAAAAAGTGCACACCCTTTGACCCAGCAATACCACATCTAGGTTTGTATCCCAAAGAGATCATAAAAATGAGGTAAGGACCCACGGGTACCAAAATATTTATAGCAGCTCTTTCTGTGGTGGCAAAGAATTGGAAATTGAGGGGATGCCCATTAATTGGGGAATGGCTGAATGAGTTGTGGCATATGAATGTAATGGAATACTATTGTTCTGTAAGAAATGATGAGCAGGTGGATTTTAGAAAAACCTGGAAAGATTTAGCATGAATGAATGTGAGTAAAGTGAGCAGAACCAGGAGAACATTGTACATAGTAACAGCAACATTGTACAATGACCAACTTTGATAGACTTAACTCTTTTTAATAATGCAATGATCTAAGACAATTCCAAGGGACTCATGATGGAAAATGCTATCCACATCTAGAGAAGAACTTCTGAATGCAGATTGAAGCATACTACTTTCTTTTATTCCCTTTCTTGCAGTTTTTTCCTTTTGTTCTGATTCCTCTTTCATAACGTGACTGATGTGGAAATATGTTTAATATGATTGTACATATGTACAATATATGTACAATACATATATTGTACATATGTACAATATATGTACAATACATATATAGCCTATATCAGATTGCATGCCATCTTAAAAAAAAAAAAGAGAAGGGAGGGAGGGAAAAAAATTTGGAACTCAAAATCTTGTAAAAATGAATGTTGAAAACTATCTTTACACATAATTGGGAAAAAAATAAAGTATTATTAAGTGGGGAAGGGAGGAAATAAAGCTGGAAAGATGAATAACCCAGCGAAGACACAGTCTACTATTAGGGATCTAGGGATCCCCCAAAAGAAGGTAGGAGTAACTCTATAACAATTGCAAGCAGATACTCAAAGGAAAAAAAATGCATTTTCCACATGAATAACATGAATACTTAGAAGAAATGAAACCAGACACTAAAAATGAAATAAAAACTCTGGAAGAAAGAATTGAAAGAATAAATAGTTTTAAAAAAGAAATTGGTAACTCATACCAAGTAATGGACACTATGAAAAGTAGAATAGATAAAAATGGAAATCAATGATTCCTTGGCACAGCAAAAAATATCAAAATTGAAAGATTGAAAAAAAGAAGAAAATGCAAGATAATTTATATCAAAAATGTCTGACCTGAAAAAAAAAAGATTAAGGAGAGAAAGATTTAAGAATCAGTAGATTTCCATTAAAATGATTTAAAAACTGGAAGGAATTGGGCATAGACCAACATATTAAACTGTGTACCAAGATAAGGTCAAAATGGATATGTGACCTAGATATAAAGAGATGCATCACAAGAAAATTAGAACATGGAGCGTATTACTTATCAGACTCATGGAGAGGAGGATAATATATAAGGAAACAAGAGATAAAAAGCATTGTAGAGGTATAAAATGGATAATTTTTACTATTTTAAATTTAAAAGTTCTTGTATAAATAAAACCAATGTAGCTGAGATAAGAAGGAAAGTAGGAAAAAACTTTCATAGACAATCTCTCAGATAAGGGTCTAATTTCTCAAATATATCAAGAACTGTGTCAAATGTATAAGAACATAAGTCATGCCACAGTCGATAAATGGTCAAGGGATATGAACAGGCAGATTTTTGATGAAGAAATCAAAACCATATATAATCATACAAAAATGCTCTAAATCATTGCTGATTAGAGAAATGCAAATTAAAACAACTTTGAGATGTCATCTTATACCTATTGGATTGGTTGAAATGGTAGATGTCCTTTAATTGGGGGAATGGCTAAACAAGCCGTGGTATAAAGTTGTGATGGAATACTACTGTGATATGAGAAATGATGGAAAGACTAGGACCTGTGAAGGAAGATGTTATTCACCTCCAGAGAAAGAAATGATAAATAGAAATATGCATAGTATGGTCTTACTTATATGTATGTGTGTGTGTGTGTGTGTGTGTGCGCGCGCACACACACACACACACACACACACACACACATTTACATTTAATTGTAGCCTTCTCTAAATTGGGGGGAGGTGGGAAGGGAGAAAAAATAAAATAAAAAGTACATAGCAGAGAACAAAAGAAAACCTAGAAAGAAACACAGAAAAGTTGGATGGCTTTGAAAACAATGTGTAGTATTTACCTCATAGGATTTCTTGAAATAGAAATTTATTCATTTTATATGGAATCCTCTCATATGTTCTGTTGTATACATGGAAATGTTCTTTTTTTTTCTTTTCTCATTTTGTATTTAAATTTAAAGTGAATTAAAAAAATTAAACCCTAAGTGCTATATTTCAAGAAATCATAAGAGAAAATTGCCTATATCTAGGACAAAGTGAAGATAGAAAAAAATGTGCCAATCATCTCCTGTAACAAACCCTAAAAGGAAAAGTTCCAGAAATGTCATCACCAAAATCCAGAGCTGGCAAATCAAAGGGAAAAAAGAATATTGCAAGCAACCAGAAAGAAGCAGTTCAAGTACCAAGGTACCACAGTCAGGATCACACAAGACCTGGCATCTTCCATTATAAATGAAAGGAGATCTTGTAATATGATATTTTAAAAGGTAAATGATATAGGCTTAAAACCAAGAATAACTTACTCTGAAAGTCTATGTAATCCTAAAGGTAAAAATGGATAGTAAATAATAGTCCTCAAATAAAGGATTTTGAAGAATTTCTGATGAAGCTATGAGCACTGAGTAGGAACTCTGAAATACAAATATGAGTCAAGAGAAACCTAAAAAGGCAAGTTAATTCGAATAACTAGAAGAGGCTATATGGTGATGCAGTGCTAGCATTTTAATATGAAACGAAGAAACAAATGTCCTTTCAGAAGCTTAATGTCTTCAATGGGCATTAAGAGAGTTTAATAATAAAAACGGAGATTCTGGGGGTGGACCAATTTTGTTCCAACGGTTTTAAAAGAGGAAAGAGAAGAAAGGGTAAAAGGAATATACTAGTATAGAAAAGAGGAAGCCAGAAGAGCTAGAGCTTATTTCTTGTAATTGGCTTGTGTGAGAAAAGAATACAAATATGAAAGAAGGGATTGTGGGAAAGCAGGCATCAGATGAACCTCAATTTTATCTAAAGCAGATGAAGGAGGGTTGAGTATATACTTACACACAGTTTATGGTAGCAAATGTCAACTTCAACAGGGAAACAAGTGGAGTTAGAGGCAAGATGTTAGAGTAAGAAGACGTTTAATACTAGAAGGGAAATAGTTACACACAAAACAAAATACTTTCTGATCCTAAAGGAGAGAATACATTGGAACCCAAGAGAGATGCTCATTAATAAATGAACAGCTGAACAAAGTGTGCTATCTGAATACAACTGCATATTATCTCATTGTAAGAAATTA